AGTCCAGTTCAATTCAACTACCCACCGTACACGATGGTGGACGGCGGAGAATTCGCCGGCACCATTTGCTCGATCTGTTATGAGCCTCTCAACCCCATTACCGAGGACCTCCAATCGGTTTCCATCTGCGGCCACGTCTTTCACGAGCTTTGGTAAGTCCCTTCTACCCTTTTTGAGTTTTTCCTCCGCTGATAGACGCAAACGCCGTTAAAGTTCCGTTCTTTGCCTTTGTTTTGATTTGGGTGTGTTTGTTTGCAGTCTGCAGCAATGGTTCGAGTACTCTTCGAAAGGGAAGAAACACACTTGCCCCATTTGCAAACAGAGTTGCGGGGCCAATGACGCGTGCAGGCTTTATTTTCAGTCAGTGGGGGACCCGAGCGATGGCGGGAAGCTTCTGAAGAGCTTTGAATCTGAGGAAAATGTCGGGCTTCTGCGTACGGAAGTGAAGAGATTGGAGGTGAAAGTTTCGGGGCTTAATTCTGAGCTAGAACGGCAAACAAAGGAATTAGAAGGAGTTAAGCAGGAGGTGCTTTTATTTAATTTTATTGTGTTTTATTGTGTTATTTATTCTGTTTTATATATGGGTGTGTTTAGTAGGAGACTAAGAAGGACATTGACGGATATTGTGGCGAATAGTATTTCTAGAATTTGTTCTTTAATTGAACTTAATGATTTTGTGTTTCATGTACTGGACCTTACACAGTGAGACAAGGCTTTTGTTGCAACTTTTGTTGGTTGTGTTCATATTAATTTGTAGGGTAAATGAGATGCATTAGGCTGAGGTGTGGGTGACACTTGATGTTCAGAATGGAGATATGAGTCATAGGAAGACCGAGAAAGACATTGGAGGAAGTTGTTAGGAGAAATCTTGGATAATATTCTCATGAATTTAGCTTTCTTTGGATTCAGTGATACCTTGCGATCCATTTACCTATGGTCACTTAGTATAATAATAGGATAAGGCTTTTATTGCTGTTGTTGTTGATTGTGTTTAGCTTAGTTTGTGGTGTAAATGGAATTTTTTAGGTTGAGGTTTGAATGAGTGTGTGGCACTACTAGTTGTTTAGAACTGTTAATGGAATGCTAAATTGATGACTGGTTTGTTCTTGATGATTACTGGTTGGAAATGGTGTTAATTTTTGTTTTTTAATCATTAATTGGTTAAAATTAAGTCACAAGAAGAATGAGGTTTTGTTTTGAAATGAATTGTTCTTTGTAATGTTCTCAGTAGAAGTTATATTTTACAATAGCTCAATGAATATCCGCGCATGTTTTTATATTTCTGATGATCGGATAGGTAGAAAGAAACTCGAGATTCATGCATTTTATGCGACGTGCTACTTTAAGCTGTAAAAATTTAAAAAACCTTATGTGGCATTCTGACAGAAGAATGAGTGGTTTAGTAGAGTAAAGGAATTTAATCTTGCTCCTATGAATTACTCTTACTAGAAATTTTTTTAAAGAAGTTTTGTCAATGCTATTGATTTCTTATGCTTCTTCCTTCAGCTTTGTATTTGCAAGGAGCAGGCAAAGATAGATACAGCATTAAAAAGTGAGGCACTAAATCAAAAAGCGTCCATACAATTCCAGTTTCATAAGAAATAAGAGGTGAGTTACTCTGGTTTTCTGTTTAATTTGTGACAATTTATCTATTTACAGGTTGAATTAACTTGTGGAGATTTATATTGATTTAGGAACTTGAGAAGTCAACTTTGGAGTCTTTTAGATTAAAAGAAAAGAATATGGCTTTGGCTAAAGAACTTGCCGCATTAAAATTGTGAGTGGAGCTTCGTTTTGGTTAAGAAACCATATTTTGTTTATGATATAGTATTTATTTATCATTTTACCTCCTGCTAAGTTGGTTTATGCCTGCACCGTAGAGTGTCTGATCTGGACCTTGATGAAGAGGAGGTTTTGAAGCTTGCCACTTTCGGTAATGGGGCCAACAATAAAGACACTATAGATACATTGAAAAGATCTCTGGTCATGCGGAACAGGTTTATCCCTCTAATCTTATTTTGCTGAATAAGCTAGGTTGTAAGGTTTCCCAGTTTTGAACTTC